AGATCCTGACAGAACATTTCACTCTTTCACATCCAAGCATCGACAAACTCTTGTTACACTCACTGATCATCCAGCTCTGATGTGTACTACATGCAGACTCAAGGGGCAAAAGAGTAAAGAAAAAAGATTCCTTTCACTATTTAGTCGGAGGGACTGACTCAGTTTCGCATGAGACAATCATTAATTACAGTAGCACATTCAAATCAGCAGCCACATATGATCCTGAGACACCACAGAAATGGTCTGGAAGCAGCAAAAAAGAAGCTGTAGCCGACAGGAAACACTCAGTTCACTTTTCAGTTCAGATGAATCTACGTCACATCAAATAATGAAGACAGGACCTCAGAATATTATAGAGAGAAGCCCAACAGTTCCCACAGTGAGAACAGGAAGAAACTTCTCTCTCAGATAATAATTTATATAGTTACAGGGAATACACACATGCTTATTGCAATTAACATTACAACTTTTACAAGTTGAACCCAATTAGTGCAGTGTATAAAAGACACACACGCACACACACATTCAGTATATTTACTTTGTGCGGACTGCAGTAAGTCTTTAACCAGGTGGTATTACTCACCAAAGATAAAGACATAATGAAGTTAAGTCTCTGCCAACACCAACTGTGTCTGTGTTGGGGCTTGGAGCTCCATCCTGCCGTCCCAGGCTACCCATACAACTTGGCTAAAACATGGCTTAAAGCTCTGAATTATTATTACACCCAGACACAAAACGGTTGACCCCAACAAAGAAACTGTTCCTTCAGGAAAAATGAATTCAAACCTTTTCTGTTGATGTAAGTGATTTTTATGGAGTTTTGTGAACTCAGCTTGTAACAAAGTTTATAAAGCACAGTTTCATTAAAGGAAATAATGAGTTGTTGAAATATTGACCATTTAGTGTGACTTAAATAAACACAAATCATCATTTTAAATGTACATATTAACTTTACAAGTCAAGAGATTGTTATGCTTTAGTCTAAAGGATGATGACAATTGGTCACAGTGGACACAATCTTTTCCAGCAAGCATGTCTAAATAATGATTACAAATATCATCTGGATTCACACTTAACACTCTGTCCTCTAATTTCCTCGCTGTTTGGTCCTGTGATCCCTGCTTCTCCCAGAGGGACACCCCACCAGCCACCATCAACCCCAACGCCAGCAGTGTGGTGGCCCCACAGGGCAGCCCGGTGGTCCTTGGCCAGTGTTTGTGAAAGGGCCCCGAGCTGCGTTGCACCGTGGCAAATGAGGCGCGTGACTCATCAGACCAAACATGGGATTAGCCGGTAATGATCTGGCAAATGGTTTTGAGATTGTAATTATGTGGCCCGGTGTTGGATCCACGGGGAGAGAGGAAGGGTGGAGTGGCAAAACACAGAGAGAGAAGAAAAAGAGAAGAGATAGCAAGATAAAGATAGTGGATAAACACAGCACTACACAAACTAACAAACATTTTAGAAGCAGTTGTTACGTTACTGCCACAATATTTAGCTCACATGTATAAAATGTACTTCACACGTGTACAAAGTTTAACAGAACAGACTTTAGCTCAGTGTGAGCTTGTGTCATATTGCATATAGTGTTCTGGAAAAGAACTAAACTAAAACCAACAAAACAAAAGTTGTGGCCCATTGAATCTCTGTTTTTTGACATCTGCTGCCATCTGCTGGAACTACATTCTGGAGTTCTATGTATAAACTTTATTGACACTCCTTTTCTTCTAAATATAATGTATTCAGCAAACTAATGAGAAAGAAGACTTCTTGCTTTTCTTGACTGTATAATAGTGCACATGCAGTTCAAGGCAGTTTTTCCATTGGTGCAACACCTTCAAAAGTGACATGCATCATATTCTGTGGAGCCTGTTTGATTAGTTCCCATTCAGAGACATCAACTCTTCTGCTTCTTCTTGTCTTGTCTACATAAATAAACTACCGACTGAGGTTCTCTAGAGTTCCTCTAAGATACTGCATTTCCTCAAAAGTGCATTTACCCAGTCTACACTCACTAAAAGCAGAACCAGCACCTTCTCTAAAGCCAGTGAGCTGGTGTTGGGCAAGTGTGTCATAACGCTTTCACAGCACACAAGTCCATTTCACCATTTACTGTTGTAGTCTTTCCACTATTAAAAGAAACATTAATATATATGAATTACTATAATAATAATTATATATGAATTATTTTTTTAATATCAAGAGTGAGGGTTAGAGTTAGGGTTATGTTGGGTCTCTATTAATGCAGCCACTTGAATGTGTCCAAACACTTTACTTGGAGAACCGGCCTTCACATCACATCTGTTTTATAATGGGAAAACAGTTTGTATAAGAAGTGATTATTAAATGTTATTGATTACTTTGTGGTCTGGCCCCAGGCTATAACTCTGATATTTGAATTCCCTATTTACCTCTGTGCAGCTCGCCATCTTCGGGCAAAGGTCTGCTGTCACTTCCTATAATCTAGACTGAAAACTCAAGGGGCAGAGTGTTTGCCATCAGGGCCCCATGGCTCTGGAATTATTTGCCTCAGGAAATAAGGGTGTCTGAGACTGTGTCTTATTTTAAGCGTCAGCCAAAAACATATACTTTGTTCAGTAGGCATGTTCCTGAATTTACTTGGGCTGTGAGGTTATTTTATTTCCATATTATTATTATTTATGTACATCCTTCTGTATTTCAATCATTTGTTTTCCTGTTGTGTTGCACTTTGTACTTTTAAGATGTAGAATGTTCTGTAAGTAAAGTTCCTATAATTGAAGTTATTATACTTGCAAGCACCTTCTCTCAGGATGGTTGCTTTCATGGGATGTTAATGGCATACTACTACACTTAGCACCTGACATACCCAATATGTGCTGTAAGTCTTTTCATTCCCTTACTTAATGATTTGATTTCACTCAGATATATTTTTACTGTCTCCTCCCTTGTAGACAAAGGGAAGTATTTTCTATGACAGTAGGTGTCTGAGAGTAGAAGCAGTTGCCTACAGACTAATAATGCAATATAGTTGAGGTTGTTGCTGGTAATTTTCAGCACATGGTACAATAAGACTCTGAAACTGTGTGAAAACTATTTCCAAACTGACATTAACAGTTGTCATCAAATTTAGTGAAGTGATTTCAATAAAACCAGTGCCTATTTTTAATTGTTCCATTTTTCATTGTGCTAAATTAAGAAAACAGTTTGCTCATATTCAGTGTACTTCACTCATGACTGTGTGGTTGCAAATCTGATCTCAAGTAATTTGATATAAAAAAGTATTTCCTGCTTGTTTTAAACTTAAGAACACTTAACAGAGGCCCCTTATTTCTAGACTGGAACAAATAATTTATGATTTTTCTCATGTAAAATGATCCCACTTCTTCAGATTATTTCACTTTTATTAAGTAATTATATTTAATTTGTGTTTATTTCTTGTATTTCTGGGAAAGCTTTTATTGCAGTTTAACTATTTTCATGACAGAAAAGCACAGTTTTATGTGATAACATTAGTAACGAGTGTATTTCATATAGATGTGTCAGTTCCAGGGCTTTGTATTGTGCATGTCACTGAAATGGTTCTAAAACAGAGTGTTGATATTCACACCTGTGCTTTTTATTACAGACAGGCCACAATATCTGCAGTAAATGGATAACATACTGTTTGATTCTGTTTGTAACATGTTTCACTTCACCAGCATTAAAACACTTACGCTGCCAAATCCTGACCCGGTGCACATGTGCCTTTATTGTGAAGTCAGAGAACTTGTCCTTGAATCCTCTTAGCAGATTAGCCTCTCAGAAGCAAACCCTTCAGTTGCCATGATGGGAGAGAGACGAACACTGTTTTACACTGTAACTAAAAACTACATCCAGGCTGAGTGAGATGCCTTGTTTGCACAATGTCAGATGAAAACCAGAGAGATTCAGAAGAGGACGACGATGCTGACAGTGACAGTTACTCAAGAAGAAACAGTTCATCTTTCACCGCTTCACTCAGCAGATTCATTTCAGGTGGGAACATCTTTCATGTTTGTTTAAATTAAATTCCTGAGGGACAGCATCACTATTAATGATGGATTTGCTCACTTTAGGTGACTCAATAGACCCTCTTCATCGCAGCAGCCATGTTACATTGTCATGATTGCAAGAACCCATGAGGATCAGAAGCAAAAGCTTCCGTCATTCTTTATGGCAGACCAAGTCTTAAGTGTAGTGAAGAAAGTAAAATATCTGGGTGACACCAGTGGAGATGATTTATGTAATAATGACGATTATCACATAAATCTGCAGTTTAAAGCCTCAGAGCTGTAAACTGCCCAAGCCAACATGTCAGCATTCATTTCTTATTCTCTCACTGTACAGATGATGTTAAAATAGCACTGTTTACAACATACTGTACAAACCACTGTACTCCACTTTACACAGCACACTCATGGTGCAGCTACAGTCATACACAACTGAAAAAGCATCAGGTGGCAAATATGTTATGATGCTTTTGAAATTTTGCAAGCCGCATGTTTGTGGCTATAGAACTTCCACATTTCATGCCACTGACTCAACAAACATGATCATTAATTTACTCATGTGTAGTAATCCCCTGTGTAATTGTAAAGGGTGATGAGTGTGTTCTATATTTTTGTACTGTACTTTGTGTTTTTGTTCTGTTTTTATCCTGGTTTGAACTCATAAGTCTGACAACAAGCTCAACTAACTAACTATTTATGTAGAGAGCATTAACTACTATGATCTGAGTATATTTATACTGGGGCATATAGGGACAGGCAGAGGTGAATGTAATTAAGCGGCCATTATTACTGTTAACACAACATATGTGCCTCTCTGAAACCTATTGAATATCCAATTCATGTTCTACCTAACGCTCCATGATGAAGTCACATTAATTTGCTCATGTTTTGAATCTAATGATCGTTTGTAATGTGTCAGTGATGGAACCAAGACGGAGAGGTGGCGGTGCAGCGTCGCAAGATGATGACACAATTTGTTGACGATGACCTCAGACTGCGCGACAGTTGTTGTAGTCCTCACGGAGGCGGAAGCTCTAACGCTGGACGCAGCTCTGCATTTATCTCTGGACTCTACGGAACGAGCGCAGTCTGCTTGTTTATGATCGAACTGACGCTCTAGATATGAACTTTCATCAAAATGTAACATGGCGATGCTTAATTAGCTGTTACAAGTACGGTTGCTCGTTAGCCTAGCTTAGATTAGCCTCCTAGCTAAGCAGCATTGCTAAACACAGTTTTGAAAGTTATGTGTGACATCACAAAGGACGTCTGCGGCAGGAGCTCCTAGCAGCCGGTGTGACTACAGGGTGTCGTTCATGTGTTGCTGTGGTAAACTGGTTAAATAGGGTTTCTCCGACACTGGGACTGTCTCCGAAGCGTTTCCAACATGTTGAACATCCCGACCCAGTCCTTCCCTGCGCCGAGCTCCCAGCAGCGGGTCTCAGCCGCCGGTCAGTCCGGGAGGAGCAAGGTACCCCCACCACAGCAGATTGACATATTCTTACCACACTAACCTGACCTATCTGCTTTTGAAGACATGAGAATGAAAAGTGACTCTGTCTTTACCTGATCAGGTGGCATTAAAGCCCGGCCACAGTCTCATGGACTGGATCCGGTTTGCCAAGAGTGGGAAAGATCTGACCGGGCTCCGAGGACGTCTGATTGAAGTTACCCAGGAAGAGCTTCTGAAACACAACACGAGAAACGACTGCTGGACGTGCATACGAGGTGAGAACGGGTGGCTCCCACTCTGGAAGACACTTAATGTCAGTGGAATGATCCTTGACGTAGTGTAGAGTGGTGTATTCCAGACAAGATGGCCCATTATTAATGACAGCTAGACAAAACCACTGCCTGCACCCTCACAGACTTACACCTCCTTCAGTGTGCAACTGGACTCTGGGATGAACCGATTGAAATGTTTGTGTGTCAAGGTCATAACCTAAATCATAGGATTTACACTTCATACCTTTTATTGAATTCCTGAAAAATCTTCTTGACAGGAGTTCAGACAAACATGGATGTTAATCATACTGAAGTGGTTGGCAGAGGCATTAAACCCTGAGGTGGTGATTCCCTGTGTTTTCAGGTATGGTGTACAACATCACCCCCTACATGGACTACCACCCTGGTGGAGAAGAGGAGCTTATGAAGGCAGCTGGGATCGATGGCACCGACCTCTTTGATCAGGTATGTAAAGTCAATCAATCAAATTTTCTTTGTATAGCCCATGTTCACAAATCACAATCTTCCTCTTAGGGCTTAACATGCTTAACATTATTCAGTGTGACATCCGCTGTCCTTAACCCTCAACAAGAGTGAGGATAAACTACCCAAAAAACTGTTTTAACAGAAAAACCAAAAACAGAAATCTCAGAGAGAGTCAGTGATTGATCCCTCCCCCAGGACTGACAGAAGTGTTATAGATGACAAATTCAATAAAGAAAGTTAATCACAAATTTTACTTTTCCAAGTTCAAGGTGCAGTCCTACATCTCCAGGTATTACAGTCACAATTAAAATGACCTTGATGATTGAAATAGATTAACAGTTTATACAGCACTGTAATTAATTGGTATTTATCAAAAGCATTTTGACATATTTTTTTAACTGAGAAAAAGGTAGTATCATTAGATTACAAATATTTCTTTTTGCTCTTTATTGCTCACTGTGGCCAGAGGATGCCTGTAGAAGCAGCGACTATAACATGTTCCTGAAACAGAGTGTAAACAAGACCCAGGACCTTGGGAGGACTGGGACAGGTTTTGTTTTGGTGGCCTTGTGAGTGCTGCCAAGTTTGATGTAGTTCTATAACTTTTTTCTGTAACTCATGGATTACGCGTGTTGCTATAATAATGTGTATGCTTGTTACACAGGTCCATCGTTGGGTGAATTATGAGTCCATGCTGAAAGAGTGCCTGGTGGGCAGGATGGCCACTAAAACAACAACTGCAATTAAAGGTATGTATAGACACACACAAACACACACATATTTACCTTTCATCTAAACTAGTCCTCAAAACACTTGTATCTCAGAAACCATTTTCAGTCATGTCCTGCAGTGTAATATTTAGTCGTAGAAGTGTGACAGTGAGTCTATCCCTAATCTGAACTTAAATCTTTGTTATAGTGATGTTTTCTGTTCTTCTTCTCAGCTATCATCCCTCCTCCACCACTGACTGGCCTCGCCCCACCTATATCAGTGGCCCCTCCCCCTGACAAAGACTCCCGACCTCGGTATAAACACAGTAAATATTATTCACACATTTATACATAAGGACATGATCACATTCATACATGAACTTGATTATTGTCTCCTGTCTGTTGATGTAGGTACGACTGGTTCCAAACTGACACAACTGTTCATCTAGTCATTTATGCCAAAAGAAAGGTAATTACTCCTACACACAACCATGAGGCATCCAGCTAGTACTGATCACGTAAACTGCTTTCTTACCAGCACTGAACTCTGAACAATCTCCTGAAATAGAAATGCCTGAGTCAGTTGCTGCCGAAATTCTCCAGAATTTTTCCAGCCAACCCCTGGTACACTCTGGATAATGTCTGAGTGAGTCCATGTGAGAACACATCAGGAGATTATCCAGACGATTCACTGGGAGGGACTGAGTGTATTGATGACATTTAAACATGTAACAGATGCAAAACTGAAAAACCCCCAAAAAGAATACAAATATCTCAGGGTGAGAAGAGGTGCTATACACGTAGATGACACCAACAAAGATGGCAACTTAGAAAGACAACAAGATTCAGGACTAGACCTCAGTGTGGACATTTTCCAGAGTTCATTTCTGAAAATGGCTGAATGAAGATCTTGTGTTTGGAAACTACAGAACTCACAAATGATCTGTATCCAGGCTAAATCACAAATCCGGTTTAAAGACCCCTCTTGATCTTAACCTTTGTCTCTGCATATGACAGTTGGTAGCACTGAGGGGAAAATAATTGGGCTTCCTTTTTTTACTATTTATTAAATATTATTCATCAGGATAATACATTAGACTTTCTAATTTAAGCTTTAAAGCCTGTAACTGTTTCACATCTAGTTTTAATTTAACAGGGGTTTGAAGGATCAATTAGTCAAAGATGTGCCTTAGTTAATTGTAAAGGTGACAAATTTATGCATATTGTTTCTGTTCCGTTCCGTCAGATCCCCAGCTCAGGCTGCACTACTGTTGACCTCAAGGCGGCTGTTCTACGACTGGAAGTACTGCTGGGCAAAATGTCCTACATAATACATTTACGTGAGTAGAGATGTGACTTTCTACATTTTGTTTTGTTGTCTTCAGTTACAACATAACTGAGACACAGTGAGGCTCAGCACAACAGTGTGCTCCCTGTGTCTCTTCTCTTTCTCTGCTGAAGCCCTTTGTAACATCTGTTTGTGGAAAAAGGCCATAAGTGATGTATAATCAAAATGAACTTGTTTGTTTGTTACTGCCAGTATTAGCTATTGTTTTAGAAGGTGGTCATTCTGTAGAGTGTGGTTAATAACATACAATTACATTTGTGTATTCGTATTGAGGACAACAGAACAAGTACAGTACATGTGTACAATGAAGTAAATCACATTTCAGAGTTGAAAGCTTTATTACGACCATAGTTGTGACAAACACGATGTGCTATATTGAGGAACATTTTTTCAACAAACATGAACAACTGCTGTTCCGTGTTGATACTATGCAAAACAGTGTGACCAGAAAATTCAAAACTCCTGAGCACTGTAATGTAACTCATGGTTTTCAGTTGTTTACTGAGGTGTCAGTTTGAGCCAGAGGTGGCTTTAAGTAAAAGTACAACTACTTGTGTAAAAAAGACTCTGGTAAAAGTAGAAGTACTGATTCAACTCCTAAACGTAAGAAAGTACAGGCTCTGAAATGTACTTAAGAACAAAAGTAAAACTGTATTTTTAACTTCAATGATACACGATGCCTCTTATGATAACTCGGCAAAATGAAAAAAGTTGTAGGCAAACAAAATAGCATAGTAGCAATAGCATTTCCTCTTTTGTTAACATCCTGGTACAGAGAGAAAAAAATAACAAAGTATTTGTACTTCGTTATTTCCCACCTCTGGTTGAAGCTCTTTGACATTGTTGTTTCTTGTGTTTATGTTAAAGGTATGACATCAGACGAGGTACTGGCAACAGAGTGATTAAACATGGACACAGACGTGATGTTCAGAATTTGTACATAAAGTTATTGTTTGTTTTCCTCCTCGTTCAGGTCTCACTGATGAAGTAGAGGAAAATGCGTCTGGTAAGACAACAGCTTTACTCTGTTTAACAAAAAAGGTTTGAAAATCTGTGTTGAAGTTCATTTTTAATCTTTACTTTTTTTCAACAGTCCACACTGCTTTCTCAGTGGGAAAGATCCAGGTCACGTTACGTAAACAGGCTAAAGGAAAATGGACAAGTCTCGGTCAATCACTTGAATTCCACAACTCATTTCTATACAAAAAAGACAGAGGTGAGATTCCAAATCAAAGAAATCAGAAAGACCGTGTAGGGAGTGGGAGGCAATTCCTCCTTCATGCTCTGTATCTTTTTCAAAGCTAGGGTTATCAGGAACCCAATATAAAAGTAAAAACTACAACACTGATCTTTTTTCAGCTCCCTTCTATCGGGATTGTGTGTTGGTGTCTAAAACTGAGGTGAACCACAACACCCATGTGTTCAGACTGCAACTCCCACGTGGGACTGTCATGCATGTGCCTGTTGGAAAACATGTCTACCTCAAAGCCCTCATTCAAGGTAAGAACTCAAGTAAACAGGCTACATACACTCTTCTGGATACAATGACAGGACGTCTGCAATGTCTATGCAACTGTTCACTGAACCATCGGATAAAAGACCAAACTGCATTACACACAGAGCTTTTTCTGTTATTTAGTCGACCATCATTTTTTTCATTTTTGAGATTTTGATCAGTTCACGTCAATAAAACACATTTTTAAACTCTTTGGAATTTGCCGAGTTTATATCTGAAAACATCATCCAATCTTCACATCATCTACATTTATGAACAGATTTTTAATAAACACACAAATCATCACTTCTGCTCATGAGTTATCGATTTGCATAACGCTGGAAAGGGTTCAAGGGTCATCTCATAAAGTTTAGATTTTCATCAGTCCACAGACACACACACTGTCTCTACTCAGACTGGACTGGACCTAAGATATTTTACACAGTTTAATTTAATATAAAGTTTTATTTTTTATTTTGTCCGTATCCAGACAGCGAGGTGGTGAGGCCGTACACTCCAGTAGATGAGAACCTGGCAGCAGCCTCCCAGCGCTCCTCACAGGAATCAGATCTCTACCTCATGATCAAGGTTTACCCTGATGGAGTGTTTACACAACACCTCAACAACATGCACACTGGTGAGTCACAGCCGGGCCGTCACATGACTGTTAGTAGCACTTTATTAGGAACACATGTTACACTAAAAGCTATTGACCTTTTGTATTTTTGGTATTAATGCAATAGAGGGTTTTAAAATGACATAAAACACAATCAGAATATAGCCTGTAAAGAAATATTGAACATTTTGCATGGTTTGGTTTATGAGTCACTGAAATAACGAGATCAATTCAGCCAAACTATAATAATGTTACAATAACATTACATTTACTGAGCTGCTGTAAAATGATTTGGAAGTGAATTGTGTGTTGAGTTCAGGTGTAATGATATAACTATCCACATCCATTCTTTGTAGGTGTGTTCATTGTTGCTCTTTCACTGGTCATGAATGTGTTTATATTTTTGGATCCATACGTTTGATTGGACTGAGTTTTTGTGTTGCTCTTTGTTTTTGGCCCCTGACATTTCTTTAGTAAAAAGGTTGATTCAGAGTTTCCCATCACATCCTTTTTTAATGTCTTTTGTTAAAAACTATTTACAGCTGCTCTACACATGTTCTCTGTGGCAACATATTTTCTCTTACTACCTGGTAAATTCAAATAGCAAGGCTAACCAGGCTAGCTTTTAAAAGAGATTATTAAAAGTACAAACATTTTGAATCATGCATCTGGTGCTGTGACCTTTCTGTATCTGTTAAACTTTCCAAAGTGGATTTGGACTCACTTTAAACAGAGCCGTACATCCTCTGAGATTATTCACAAAAAGAAACTGATGCTCTCAAGAGGGAAACTCCCTGCTGGGTTAGTTTTAGATGTCAAGAGGAAATGACCTTGTGTTTTGATGTCATATCTAAAGAGCATGTTCTGTATTGGCTAAATAAAATAAATCACTTATTCTCAAAGTAGATGCAACATTTGGGACAAACCAAAACAGCATTGTCTCTTCTTTTTCAAACCTTTGAACATAATGTAATGTTTTCACTGTGTCTCTAGGTTTTAACTTTGTGGGGTCTATTGGATTATGTATGGGTTGTTATTCACCTGTGTGTTGTTACTCTGTAGGAGACCATTTATCTATCAGTGGTCCAGAGGGTACCTTCACTGTCCGCCCCCTCCGTGATGTCACACACCTCTACCTGTTAGCAGCAGGCACAGGATTCACACCGATGGCCCGCCTCATCCAACTGGCCCAGGACTTCGACACCATCAGGTGGGAACTGTCAGAAAACTCTGGAGGCAAAACTCTCATAATTGGCGCATTCATAATAACTGTATTTTTAATATTGTTATCACCATTTTAAATATTATATCTTGGTTTTACAATGGTAAAACCACAACTCATGTCTTGTTTGAAAAAAGTATTGCACTTGTACTTGTATTATCGAATCCACAGCACAGTTTAGAGAGAACGGCGGTTGTGTGTTCTGTTTAACTGATCCAAGGCGTTGTTTGATATTCATGTTTGTGTGTTCTCAGAAAAACCAAGCTTCTCTTTTTTAACCGACGGGAGGAGGACATCTTCTGGCGCCGTGAACTGGATGAACTGGCTGCTAACAATGAGAGGTACTGCAGCAGTGTGATTGTGTTTAAAGTCTTCTCATGCTTTTCCCTGTTACAACTTGATATTTCATTAATTAGCATTCAAATAAGTGAGGGGGTGGAGTGCGTAACAAAGTGTGGACTGAGAGAATGATGAGAGGGAAGCTGAAGAGAACTTGCAGAGTTGTGTAAAAGGATAAATTGTGACTCGCTGAGGGACCTGGATGAGTTTCAGTGTGATTGGTTCATACATGTGTGTTTTGTGTGTCAGGTTTCAGGTGGAGTACGTCCTCTCTGATCCCTGTGAGAGCTGGTCTGGCAGGACGGGTCGAGTTGATGAGTCCATGCTTCAGGATTTCCTCAACAGGCCCGATGGCTCCAAAAGCTACGTGTGTGTGTGTGGCCCCTCTGCCTTCACAGAACTCACAATAGGGTGTGTATCATGACCTTTTGACATTATTGAAACAAAGGCAGACATCAGACTGGAGCCTGACCAGACATGTTGTAAAGAAAATAAACTTTATGTTGAAACTATTTTTATTGGAGGAGTTTGATTTAGTTCAGTCCAACAGAAGTTTGATAGCACTTTGACCCCCTGTCCTTTTTGTTCTTCTTCCAGGTTGTTGAAGCAGCAGGGCTTCAGTGAAGCGGAGCTCCACGCCTTCTGCGGCTGATGTGCTCCACCCTGCAAAGACTGTGTGTGTGCCTGTGAGGGAGAAAGAGAGAGATTTAATTTTAATTTATAAACTTGTGTTGAGAGATCTATGCACCAAGGATGTGATGATGCTGACTGAAGTCAAACAGCACTGCCTGGGTTATGTTCGCCTGTAAAGAAAACCTGTCTGAAGCAGTTCATAGATTTCATTACATGAGTGGAAACATTGTAAATATCATTGTAGTAATAAAAGCAGGAGCACAGACAGAAAGAGAAATGAATGGGATCATGTAAATTGGTGATGTGCTGTATATGCAAAGAAAATGAACATGAGCCTGTTTGAGATGCGGACACAGTTACAAACATGCAGTTACAGTTAACACCACTGCAGTGCAATAAAAAAAGTGACATTTTGACTAAGTTTGGTTTCCTATTTGTTCAAACTTTTTATTGAGTTCAATTTTGAATCATCTAAAGTTCAACTAAAACAGAGTTGTTTTGTTTTATTTTTTTTACTACAGGTACTACACGTATGTTTTTCCAATGTTAGCATTAACAGCAGTTTACTTGCCATTCTAAAAGAAATGTTGTGAGATCATCATCAACATCTCAGCTTCTCCAGCATAAAGAAATATCAACACTTGTTATTTTGTTTTAATCTCTTCTTTGGGGAATTTCTGCATATTTTCTGGGAGGGAGTGCAAATGTGTGAGTATCCAGACTTTTCCCTGACCTAGTAAGAAGTCTGGACATTGTGTTAGAACTGCAGGAGATCCTCCACAGGATTCCCCGCTAGCAAGTGGGTGTGTTGATGACGTTTCTGATGACAAATGCAAAAATGGTGCCATACATGAGGATGAGACCGGCAAAGTTGTCCCAGGTTCTTTGTTTTATAGGGGCCAGTGTTGATGTGCTGTAAACAAAAACCTGTGATCTATGCAGAATAATTAAAACATAACATCCTGTGGCCCCACGAGTCCGAGCAGAGAGGCAAACCCCCGGAGAAAGTCTGGACCCAACCGTGCCAACATCCTGTCTGTGTGACAGTGGCTTTAGTATTCTGAAGAAGTACCACTGATGCACTGAAAACATCCCATGATAATCATGAGTCTGGATGTTTAGTAATAGAGAGGTTACAGATTTCAGTTTGGATTTTTTAAAATAAATGATATTGCTAAATGTTTTCATTTTGTCATCATGGGTTATTGTGTGTTGAGCTACAGTTTTATCCATTTACAACGAAAATTAATAATAAAACAATAAAGTGCAACGACATGTCGTTTCTGTGTGTTTATGTTAATAGGGCTGTGCTGTCCCGGGTGCAGGATTGGGCCCAACAGTTGGAGGCGTGGCCTGCTTTCACTCAGCAGCACCTGCCGGCGTTTCCTGTCCCTCCTCCTGATTGGCGGATCCCCAGACCGCCGCACCAATCAGCAGAGAGCATCAGCCCTATATAAGCTCCAGCTGCAGCGTTACTCAGGGCTGCTGATTAGCAGCAGGTCACAGAGTGTGTGTGTTGTGTCAGGCATTAGATGTGAATTGATTGTGTGAGTGTTGAAGTGTTTGTGTATCCCTCACTTGTCTCCATGGTGTTGTTTACTTTGTGTTTTAGTCTTTATTAGATGAGTTGATCTTTCAATAAGCATCATTAGCTCCTTCTCTTTTGGTTACTGTGTTTGAACAACACTTGCAGGCCTTGATTCTGTTTCCCTCTTTTCAATTGTTTGAAACCTTATTTGGAACTCTTCCTCTATGAGCTAGAAGTAGTAAGATAAAGAGGGGGAAAAATAAATAAACGATAGAAGCCCAGAGTCCTCTCTGTGAGCGTTGTTTGTATTTTTTGTCTTTAACTAAAGTTCCTGCTTAATTTAAAGTTATCTCATTCCTACATGTCAATATATCATGGCTGTATTATGTGTACATTTTCCAAATGTCACCAACAGGGGATTCTTGTTTTGCCAAACTCGAGCCCCTTATAGAGTCAACATCATCTGATTAAATGAAACGTTTCAGCTGTCATCCAAGAGGCTTCGCCAGAGCTGAGAACCACAAGTTCATGTTTCTCGTTCCTATGCCTTAAAAACATGTGGCCACATGTCACCAGGGAAGCTCTGTTCAAACCAGAGACGATCAGAAGATCACATTCTTCTCTGTGCACTGCTGTCATGTCGGACCACATTGTTTAAGTCCAAACATGATACACAGGTGTAATTTTAGTGGAGTGGGTGGCAGGACAAACTGAATACAATTTTGTTCGACAAAGGTTTAAAAGAGTATTTATTTTTCACTACACCTTCAATAAATTAAGACATACATTAAAAATAGAATGTGGCTACAAACTATACAGGCAGAACGAGTGTCTATTCATATTCTGTGTTTTTTCTTTTTTACAAAGCCTCAACTTTAATCATTGTGGCTTTATTTCTAAATGTTTATGTCATCATGATCAGATACTGATCACACTAAACAATATCACACACTGAACAATATCACACCTGATTGAGTCTAATGATGAGATGCTGGTTGTTATTTCTGTCTCTTTGTCTTCAGCACACAAGTATCAATGTCTATGAGTCAGTTCTTGTGGGTTGTCATGACGTGGTCAGGAGGGAGGCAACAAGTTCTTTTCAGTTGTTTCACCACGTCCAGGATGGAGTCCAACTCCAGATAGAAAGACATCAGCTCTTTTTTCTTGACCTGGAGCAGATTCTTCCAGTGCTCCACCTCTGCCTGCTGCTGAGGCGCTATCTTCTGCCGCGTGCCATTGATCACCTGGAGGCAGAGGGAGTGACCGGTAGAGGTTAGCTAGTATCTGTTCAGTAAACACATCACACTCTTTAAATGAGTTGGCTATCAGGGGAACTAAACATCTGACAACTCCCAGTGTATATGAAATATCTGATACTGAACTCATTTCAGTATATGTCAGTTTCCTTTTCTGTTTCACCAAGTACTCCAGGTTGAGAGTTTGGGTCTCCCTGGTGGTTTAACTTCAGTTGGGAGCAGCACCAACAAACGCTGCATTGCCAGATTCTTCTTTTGATGACAGAACTGGTCATTACACACTGAAATTGTTTGCCTCCAACAACCAGTGCAGTTTCAGTCTATGGAATTTATTTTCTCATATTAGGTCACGTCACCTTTGACCACTGAAATCGAATGAGTTCATCTTTGAGTAAACTGGTCTGTAACTTGAGATATTGTGTCCAAGAGGCAAAACATGATCTATGTGAACATTTGTGCCAAATTTAAAAGGATCTGAATGGTCCTTTAGATAACATGATTTTTTTTTATAAAGCAACAAGAGTTGAAGTAAAAGGATCTGTGGTCCAGAGGGTTTATGTAAATGAGGGTTTATGTAAATGTATGTACAGAGAGATGTCTCCCATCACGTGTACCTGCTGCAGCTCCGTCTCTCTGTGTTGTTGTCTGAGATCCAAGTTGAGGATCTTCCTCTCCAGGCTACATAGGAGTTTCACCTCTGAGCTCTGAGCTTCTTTAGCTTCCTTCAGCTCCTGCAGCAGTTGGATCAGCTGAACACAAGATGACTTACAATTAAAGGGTTAAAAAGGAAAAATATCTAGGTACATTTTTTTTCTTGGTTACACTGATGCATGGTGTTATTTTGCCAATTTAATGGCATTTTTCCTGAATTACAACTCAGCAGGGTCAACAAAACATTTCATACCACTGATATAATGAAAATAGAGCAATACGCTTTGAATTCCTAAGAATATTCATTGTGACATTTGAATTAAAAATATTTAAATGAATAAAACAAATAACTCTCTGGCTCTGTTACCATATAAATGCTATATTAAACAGGACCACAGCACAGAGTTTTGCATTTATTTCTGTAGTGCGTAACGCTAACTTACCGAACAGTAACTGTTTTGGGGAATAGCTTTTTGCCCCCAAAAGGATGACTAGTTCCTGTAATAACATGAGTAAAACCTGGAGCACCTGCTCACCTGTCTCTCCAGGATGTTCTCTCTGCTCCTGGACACTCTCAGTGCATCTTTATTTCCCTGCAGCTCCTCCACTTGTGCTTGCAGATGTTTTATCTTTATCTGCAGGCAGACGTTTAAATCATCAGAAACATTTCAGGACCATCTGTTGTCATTACACTGGTGTGTTCGTGGCCCTGTACCTCCTGAGTGTTGATCATATGGGCCTGTTCAGCCACCTTTGATGATGAGTGTTCCAGGGCATGGGTGGCCCTCAGCTGGTCTAATACCCGGAGATGTTCCACCTTCAGAGAGGACAGCTGCTCTGCACAGTGCTCCTGGAGCCTAGAAAGTCACATAACATCCTTTAGTTCAATCTGCAGATGTCTGTTGATGGGTTCACACAAATACACATACCTGCGCAGCTCCTCCTCGGCTTGTACAGCACCTGCCTTCAATTCCTTCTTCTCCTGCTCCGCCTGCAGCTCCAGCAGCTCCAGACGCTGAGTCAGAGCCTGGTTCTCCTGCAGAACTTCTGAGATATGGCTCCCTGTCAAAAGAACACAACAGTAAATTACAAACATCCCAAAAACTCTGGAGGGAACTTTTGAAGAAGATTGAAGGCTTTGCTCGTTATAATTATTCATCCTGTTCAAACTGGCAGTAAAAGGATTCTCAGTGTTAAATGTAAGAGAGCTTTTGAGAACAACAGGACAGTGGACTCTGAACCCTTTACATTTAATGCTCCTCTGAGCAGAGGGTCCTTACGTCTTGGCCACGGTGGCTGCATGTGCAGCACCTTACGGCTGCTTGGCCGATCTGCTGCATCTCACTGTTGTTCTCACAGCCAGTGTGTCTGCTGTGGAGCTGCTACATAAGGTTTCTGGTATGACTATTGTATTTCCTTTAATAACAGTAGCCTATGTACTCTGTGCATCTTCCAGTCCTACAATAACAATCAAAACCTTGATAAAACAGGTTCATTGATTCAATGGTCAACAGAAACGCTGGAGTGCTTTTACTTTGAAATACATAGGTACAGGAAGTGTGGCAAATATTTATGTGTGACATAATCATAAGATATAGACATTGAAACTGTTGAAAAATCGTTCAGTCTATTTGCTGTGAACTGCATCCAGCACACAGAGAGGAGCAGTGCAGCTCAAACCCACGTTGTGTGGACACTCCAATCTGTTAATATGGGAGCTGAAAAGAAAACAAGATGATCTGCAATGCAAGATGACAGTGTACGTACATCTGCATTACTTATTTGATGTGGGTCTGTCCTAAGCAGAGGATAGTGCCAGTTTAAGTCAAAGAAAGAATTGCTTCATTCAGCTAAATTATTATTTGAATATCAGTGCATTCATAACTTATTTTAGAATTCACTAGGCATGCAGAGGGAGGTCAAAGTTCAGACCTGCATAGACTGTGGGCTGGTAGGTCCTCTCATTGTGAGCAGCTGGAAATAGTTCCTCTTCTCCACGTGTGTCTTTTGCAGTAACAGAGCAGAGCATCTTGGTCTGTTGTAAATGAGGCTGTCGTATATTCTCTGTGGATCGGTCTTTTGCTGTTGGGTTGGGGACAGACAACATGGTCCTCCTCTCCTTCTGCAGTCTCTCCACAGTGCGGGTAAGCTCCTGAATGGTTTGTGTTTTGGTGGCGACCTCGTGTTTCAACCGCTCTATCCGAACTCCAAACGCTTCCTGAGCTTGGCGCTGGTGTCGGCTTGGGCTCGGCTGGGCCTGCAAGGTGATGGGAGGGTGGGGGTATAACATCAGTTTGAACAGGCAAGTACATTTCAGTGAGCAGGTCAATTTCTCTGCTGACCTCGTTTTTGAGCTGCTGCTGGAGCGACTCAATCTGGTCATGGAGGGATTTCTCTTTCTCCAGGTGGCTTTCCTTCTCCTGCTGTAGCGCTTTCTCCAGAGTTTGAACCTGTGACATCCACGGCTGGTTCACTGCTGCGGAGCACACTTCTTCAACCTGCTGTTTCTGTTCCAGCTGCTGCTCTAGCGCTGAGATCTGCTGCTCATAGCGGAGCTGAATGGAGCAAACAAACACATTCCATATTTTCCGTGATGTGCAAACATAGTGCTTGAGAGTTTGATGCTTATCTCATCAGACCAGACAATCTCTTTGCTCATGTTCTGAGAGTCCGATTTAAATTGTTAAATAAGCGCTGATTGATCATTACATTCGAGATCAGTTATCACAATATGAACAAAATGTAGCATTGAATCAGCTCTACCTTGACACTGAGGAACTGTTGCTCCATGGCCTTCAGGCTACGTTTAGCCTCCTCATCGTGACTCTCCAGCTCTGCTTCCAGACGCTGAATCCTGGCCTCCTGCAGGACGACGATGCTATTGGGCGTCTTCGCAGTGTCTACATCCTCCTCAGCACCAGCGCTGGCTGCAGCGTATATAAGAGCAGGCAGGGAGTTTGGGTTCCTGTGTTTTAGTATCTGCTCCAGGTCCTTCACCTGGTGAATTGAGACAGACTCTTGAGCAATGGAGAGACAGAGCCTAATAAGTTTGATTCGTTTGTTTGATTGTGGGAGAAACCTGTCGCTGCAGGTCCTGCATCCTCTTTGTGTCCACAGTTTTCTCTTTTGCCTTTCTCTGCTGCACGCTGCTTCTTTTGCCCACTTCTTTCAGTTTCTCTACCTGAAACAAAATCAACCTGTTATTTCACCTCAAGCAATGTCCACATGATAAACTGTTACTGACTTTCTAGAGCCTTCAGCCTCTCTGCTACAAGCCTCTGGAACTCTCTACCACCAGACATTCATAACAATGACTCTCTCTCCATTTTTAAATCCCATCTAAAAACTCATCTTTTCGACAGGCATATTCAGTTTGACTGTCTTCCAAATTTTGACAAAACTACATGTTTTATTCACTGTTCATTTTTGATATTTCTATTGATGTTTTTTAATTGTTTTTGTTGTTGTGGTTTTATCTGTCGTGTAAGGTGACCTTGAGTGCTCTGAAATATATAAATGTATTATCATACAGGGCTTCTATACGAAGTACACTGTCAGCACAGTTGTTCATCTTCTCCAAGGACACTTCGGAATGCAGACTGGTAGTACCTGTCACTATACACATAACATATGACAGCATGTAACCTGCTCTGTGAGTTGATGGATCTGAGCTGAAGCAGCCTGCAGTCTGTCACCATCTCTGTCCAGCAGCCCCTGGTTCTCAGCAAACCACTGCAGCTTCTTCTTCAGGCCTGACACTTCCTCTTTGTGCTTCTCCTCCAGTACACGCATCTCTAACGTCTTATCACCTATAGGACACAGATAGAATGGATATGTTGTCCAAAGATCACTTGTACATATACAGAATCAAGGTCTTGTAAAAACAGGGAGCCACTTCTAATAAGTCTCTAATCTTTCAGTGGTCTTTGGATTTAAAATGCCCAGATGTTTTTTGTTTCCCTTAGTGTGCATGTAAAAGTTCTGCTAAGTAACAAAGGCCAAAGTGAGTCTTTCTCTTCCACAGAAAGTTCTGCTCCTTAAGCGCCTTTAACACCTCCTTATATATATAAAAGCATCTACATCACCATGTAACATTCAACCTGCCCACCTAATGGCTATAATGGCAGTGCTTTACAGCTGATCAGGAGGCCTTTAGGTAAGGGGTGTGACATTTCCAACAAGAGGCTGACCAATAACAAAAGAGGCAAGCCAACCGAACAGAGACGTACCCAGTGCTAAAACAGAGTGTTTGAGACAGGGTGAAAAGCGAAGCTGCAGCACTGAATGCTTTGAGACAAATGTGTATTTTAAACATAGCAGCAGGTAAACATGTTCTAGTAGATCATCAAATTCATGTTATGAACATGTAAATTGACAAATATGGACACTACATCTCCACAACTCACCTGAGGTGGAGATGGCCTGAGCTTTAGCCAAGTCTCTCTCTTTCTTCATCAGCTGCAGGTCTTCCTCCAGAGCATGCTTTTCTTTCTTCAGTCTGTGAATGTCCCCAGTCAGATTCACTTCATTCCTCTGGACAGACACATTGTAATGAAAAGTGATGAGAATGAAACAGATCTTCTGTCTAACAGTATTTCAGTAACCTTGGTACTTACCTGGAATGTATTTATTTGACTTAACAAGTCTGTAATGCGTTGAGCGTGATCCATTAAACAGACATTTCCCACAGGCCTTGAGGTTTTACTCAGCTGCTTCCTGGTGAATATGGAAAAGAACCACAGAATATATAAAAATATGCGACACATGTTTTGAAAAAATTATCTCTTTCTGGAGATGTGACATTCAAGAGGACAACAATGTATCGTTAGGCCACCGTGACTTTGCCCTTTGACCACCGAAATCAATTAATCTTTGAGTCCAAGTGAATTCCCTTGAGTTGTTCCTGAGATATCACATTCACGAATCAATGTTTCAGGTTTCAAGTTTCAGCTCTCACCTTGTGAAAGTCAGTTCATTCAGCAGCGTCTGGTTTTCAGTAAACATAGACTCCTCGTAGGCTTTGCTCTTGGCCTGCTGAGCCTTCATCTGCAAGTAGAGTTTCTCATTCTCCTGCAAAAAATGGTTTAATAGCACAAATATTAAAAGCACGAAAAGGAAGAAAAAGAAAGAACGAACAACTACACAACATGCAATAGGTTTGTATTTAAAATGACATCATTCTTCAGGTTTTGCATGTGGTGCTTCACAGCTGTGTGTTGTTCTGATAGGGTGTTGCTTTTTATTGAACTTTTAACACGTTGCTCATTAATTAACAGTTGCGTGGTAATGGCAGTGGTCTTGCTGCAATTAATTTGTGGGGGATAGCCTGTTACTCAAAGCTGAAAATTAAGCTTCTTAAAGCAGGTGTAATTTTTACATCCTAGTAAAACTTAGATTTTTGACTGAAGGCTGTCATGTAATTTCTAGCAGTTTGAATAATGAGTCTGACTCTGGATGGTTCCAACAAACTAACGTCCACACAACCATATGTTGTTTTAAAATAGGGAAACTGCAGCTGTGTTGATTTGGACAAATTAATCAATTCCATTCTAAATTAAGCTCTGATTCTGTCCGTGTCTTATAATGACTAACAGGAGGCTCCTTAACCCAGTGAGAATGGACTGCATCACTTAAATAAAGAAGGACAACTCAACCTAATTACAACAGGTAAAAATTAGCAGATTTATTATGCATTTCCACTCATTTAATAATATTGTGAGATGAGTTTTTAACTTATATTTGAGAGCTTGTAGTGCTATGGTACATTTAATAACAATAGTTTTGGTAGCATCTAGGGAACATAAACATAGTGTATTTGAAAGGGAAACTGTGGAGATAAAACCTATTTGGTGTATTTCCATGTATCAGTAGCAGCACTCATGTTCACAAAATAAAAACTCAAATTTGTTTCTATTGAACCCTATTTGGATGCAACAAAGTGTCTGCTCCGAGCAGCAGGAGAGTCACATGACAGAGTATTTGACCATGTGACAAGAGGAGATTTTACCAACAAATCAGAGGTCAAAGCGAAAAACAAAAGCACCTATTTGGCTACTAACTATGTCTGATCAGATGCTCTAAGAGACAAACCTGCTGGTAACCTTTAATGAGCAACTCCTGCTCTTTCAGTTCTTTATCCATCCTTTGGAGCTTTTCCTCTGCTGCAGGATCTGTGCCCTCGGCTTGTTTCTTCCTTTGATTGGCTTCTTCTGCACTTCGCAGCTGAGGAATACAAAAAAAAAAGATGTACTTTTACCATCAATATAGTCCAGCTACTTTTTTTTATTTGAAGTTGTAGTGTGTGTGTAGATTGAATATGGAGCTTCACAGTACACATGAAGCCTATATTACAATCCCTAATGTAATATGAAAAATAAAGAGGCCATCCTGCAGCTCAGCTCCTTTGTTTTTGACCTATAGGGTTAGTATAGCATCCAAAGAGAGGAGTGTCAATGTAGAGCTGTATGAACAGTATTTAGGTTTACTCTTTCTTCTGCAGTCACAAAACAATAAAGTAACTATTTATTTTTTGTGACTCACTTTGTCATGTCATACAATTATACACCTGGCTCTACCAATACATCAGGGTTTTATCTATAACCATGTTTCTGGTCTTTCTTTTTTCTCAACCTGCATTATTCTGAAAAATACAGACATTCACAATTCAGTTTTATTTGTATAGCACCAAATCATATTAAACATTACCTCAAGGCACTTTACATAGAAGGTTAAGACCTTAAAATTTATAGAGAAACCTAACAGCTCCCACAATTAACAAGCACCCAAGAACAGTTAGGGACTTACTAAAGCTTTACTAGAAAATGAGGCGTCAACACATCACATAAAGTGTAGTAAACACAGAATGGGAGAACTTTGTAAATTTCAGTGCATTTTCACACCTTGCTCTGCAGAAGGAAGATCTGCTTTCTGAGTGAGCTGAGCTCCTCTGCTCCTTCATTCATCTTCTGCAGCTCCCTCTCCCTCTGAGCCAGGTCGACTCTTAGCTCCGTCACCAGAGAGCTGCTCTCATCCCCCTGCAAGTCAGACATCAACACCAATATCAGATGAATGATTATCTGTGGTGAACCAAATCTGACCTAACGCCATTGATGACAAATTGTCTGAGAGTCTGATAGTCTGTCCCATCGGCTAACAATTTGGCTCTACAATAAATTAGTGCAATTTGATTTATTTGAATAAATGTGTCTATCACATTACTACAATTCGCACGAAAAGGTTAGTAAGTTAAAACATACAATGATAATTAGCTAGATTAGTTGTCATGTGTTACTAGTCTCAAAAACAGTGATGTGCAACTCCAGATGTCCAGATACCAGGTGTTGAGTACAGAAAAAACACAAGCAATGAAAGCAGGTGAGTTAAGCTGCTTCATGTGATCTCTACAGAGGTACCAATACGTAACGTCCCCCCTCTGTCTCCCTCGCCTGAAATCTCCACAGATATCTGTATTGTTGTGAACATGTCTGAGTGGATAATCTCCTGCTGCCTTATGCATGTGTAAAAAGCAATCTACAATTTTCTGGACATCATCCAGAGGTGATGTCTGAAAACTGCTTAACAAGCATGATGAAGACAGCTTTGGAAGAGACTCGGGTCTTATCGTTGTTGCTCGGTTGTATTTTGTATTAAATCCTTTAAAAAGTGATGTGCAAACAAGTATGAGTCCTTTCACATTTTTCCACATTAAAACTATCTGATTATAATATTGCGGTTGACCACTATCTCTACCAAGCAGAACAGCATATAATGCAAAATACACGCTGAAGATCTTTATTCAGGGTTTTCAGTGTCTGGATGTCCATTGTTGTCTTACACTGTTGTTTGGAAGATGATATGTCGGTCTGGTCTCCTGGTCACTACTTGTGTTGATCTGCTGTTGGAGGACGGCCACTAAGGACTGAACGGATGCCACCAGCTCATTGCTCACTTTGAGACCTGACTCTGCTAATCAAACATACAGAAGTTGTTCAGTACCTTTTACATTCGAACAAACAGATAGAAACATGACACACTGATTCCACACCTCCACACAATCCTCCTGCGTTATAAAATTATTTGTGTGTGAGTGTCACTAAGTAATAACCTGTGTTGTCGTCTCTTTCTGGGCCCCTAATGAATGTAGCGCTTGATGGACGCTGTGGTGAATGGGTTTTGGCTGCAGCAGCAGTTTTACTGATCTCTGATGACCTAGAGGTCACTGCTGTTCTCTCCTCCATCTTCCTGCCTCTCGAAGGAGGCAAGGTTGGTTTCCTCACTGAAGACTTAGAAGGTTGAGAAATGGTGGAGCTACGGGAGGCCTGGGGGAAAATGTCATGGTTATTAAAAGCTTAAAAGACAACGATGCTCACCAGAGGAACGTGGTGGAGCTGTTTTTTGCTAAAAAAAAATATATCCAGTTTGTATGTTCTGAAGCGTTACTGCTAGAAACTGGGTTTTCAGGCAATACCAATCTTTAGGTTAACTGTATATAAAGACAACCACAAATCCACGCACTGCTGAAATGGAGCAAAGTTTGCCTCACCGGTTGTTTCTTAATTTTGCCAGCCTGAGAGGGTTTGTGAGAACTCATCTCGTTGTGATCCTTCATCAGCCTTTGTACTTCCTCCCTGATGCTCCACGTCAGGTCAGGGTTGGGATGGTCTGGGGAGCTGCAGCGGTGGCTCAAGAGTTCATTAGCTCCCTTTATCTTCGTAGCGGCTCTTTTTGGTCTCTTCAGTTGTGACTCTGCATAAGACACGTCAGGGAAAGTCCTTTCCAAGGAGCAGGATGTTTTTTCTTGGACACGTTGCAAAGCACTGTGATGAGGAATTGAAAAAAAAAAAAAAAAAAAAATGTATTAAGTGCAAGTTGTTTTAACTAAATTCAGGTTGAGTTGGGAGAATTAGTTCTTTTGGGACAATGGAATCAACAGTAAGTCGTAACAGTATACACCCTGTTTTACCTTTGTTCTGTTCATCTGAAACATAGATTTCAAATAAAGTAGGATATGACATCGAAAACGTACGTATTCTGGAGTAATTTGAAATGGGTGTGACAAAATAACTAAAATGTTTTCTTTCACTGGTCTTTCTGAAATTTGGTGTGTGTGTGTATGTATATATATATATGTATCTTGTTCAAATTTGCATCTATTCTTCTGCACTCAGAAACACCATCATTTGCACAAATGTCTTGTGCTTCAGTGTGAATCCTTCTCCTCACACTCTGGCTGCTTCTGTCACTAAACCAGCACAGGTTTCTCAGATTTCTGATCGCCATCTTGGATTTTTGCAGCGCTAACCTGACAGGTTGAAGGCTGAACCCTCTAGTATGATCGTCCTCTATTCGGATGGGCCTCATCAGTTCCTCTGCAGTGGGAAGATCTGAATATTAAAAACACAAAGTAATTATATTAACTGCTTACATCAGTTTGTTCCTTAAAACTGATCTTGACACATGTAAACACCTCATTACAGTCTCATTTCACAGACTGTCTCATGGCCCATGAAACAGTAAGTTTACTGAACATGTGCCGTCTCCTCAAGTTTACCAATTTCAACTCACAGGACAATTTAGAAAACAACTAGCAGAGCTAGCAATGATGCAACAGCTGGTAACTCTGTTATAAAATACAAAAAGAGTCTCTGCCTGTTGTCTGAATAAGTGTTTACGGTAGGGCAGTGTTTGACCTGACTCATTGGTAGAAGCAGGTTGAAGAGATTGTCTGTCATGTTGAGGAGCGAAGGTTGAAGACACAGATCTGTGGAGCCTCTCTCCTTCCTCAGTTGAATGCAGGTGATCATGGTTATGGTCATCTGAACCCTCCACAACCTGGATCTGTCTGTAGGCCTCATGAAGAGCCTCCATCTCTGAGGCTCCACTCTTCACATATGAGTGGCCTGCACAGAAAATATATAATGCAGTCAATTAGCTATTGTGAAAAAAACAATTGCCCACACATTATTGTGTGTGCATAAATACAGCTTATAGTACAGGAGGCTCGATACTGCACATGCATGAGAGGGTTTACAAGTGGCAGGATTCTATGCATCTCTCCCTCTGTGAAATAAGTGGCAAAAACTATTGTCTTGTGTGTTGTATCTGCGGTTGTCACGTTATAAAAATTTAAGTTTGGATAGTGACAGTGAAAAGTGGTAATGACACACGTTTGAGGTACACTGCAGGCATCCACCTGCTAAACACCATCTCTGACTCTCTTAATGGGAAGCTGGACTGGGGTCAAACATCCTGGGAATCAGCTTGTGATCAGAGCCTCTGGGGTGAACACAGCCACAGGGGGGCAGACCTTCTCCACTCTCCACATCTCAGGGGGTTTTCAGGTCAGACATTTTCCCATCCTTACCCCGTGGGTATAGGTCAGGGGACTTTGTGCAGGTGGGGTTTCTGAGGGAGAAACCTTTCTTGCCCTGAGCCTTTAGGAGACAGTATTGTTAGTCGGGCCTGGGGGCTTCTTGAGGCTTCAGCCTGGGGTGGTGGCTGTGCTGCAGCCTGAGTGATGATTTGGCCAAGCTGTTATTACCCAAAATAGGTGAACTGATACATTGGTGCAGCTGAACTGCATAACATTGTCCGGTGCTTATTTTAAGCAACATATTATTCTACTGAATAACACATTTCTATTACTTGATCCTTTGTGTCTGTGTTACTTACCTCTGTCCAGTGATCCTGCTGTGTCCTTCTTTCTGTCTTCTCCACCAGTGTCGTCCAAAGAATCAAACAGGCAAACTGAGAGAAAGTTAGAGAGATCACATTTATGACATCATTTACTTTACAGTTATCTACGGGTACAGATTCATTTCTACAGTGAAGAAATTAATAATAAATGCTGTTTATTGACAGGCAACCTTTAATTTGAACAAATACAACTGGAGACATTTGAATGAGTTTACATAAATATATACATTGTTGGTAGTGAGGTCAGTATTCGTACTATAAACATAGTTTTTACTGTAGTGTAGTGTTATATGCTGTCTATAGCCACCAAACCATATTCCACTTTCTCTTCCAATGAAAGATTTTAGTCTTTTCCAAAATCCAACAGTGAAATATTTTGTTTTCTCTTACCTTTGGCAATACTTGGGGGCATCTCAGACTTCTGAAAACAGATAACACAATAATGAACCACGTAGCATTATCAACCTGTCTGACGGAGACTGTTCCAGTCAAAGTTGTTGATCTTGAATAAACTGGACCGTTAACGTCTATTTAGCTCAGGAGGCAGCTCGGCCACTCCTGTGTCATTGTGGTGCTGTGTGACTAGTTGCTGATCATTTAATATCCCATACATGTTTTATTGTTATGGCTGCGTACACTGTGTGCCATGTTGTGCAAAATTATTTTTTCTTCTTTTCCTAAGTCACACAAATCAATGCGTTCAATCAAATACAGTAAACAAGATAGGAAATATATTTTCAGATAACTCTTCGGCCTTTGCTTGCAGGTTGGACTAGAAGAACTGAGAAGATGCATACTGTAGTTGAGATTGTACTTAAATTGTGTCTTGTACAGAAAAGATAATAACCTGCATACGACATATTGTTTTGGTTTCACATATCCTGACACAACAAGAATTATGTGTTGCATGCAGGTTATTATCTTGTCTGTCATCTTATACCACAAGGTTAAACAAAAATCATGTTCTTCCAGAGAACAGAGAAAGC